AGATATGACGTTTTATGGTTTGGTTTTATAAACTTGAGTCAAACTTGAAGTTAACATGCAAGATAGAATTTGATTTAAAGGAAAAGTAATTATCAAATACTAGTTGTTACAAGTAACTATTAATTATATCCTAAAATGTTAGTTCAAGTATTACAATTCATGAATTAATCCTGAAACCGGTGACTGTTTATCTAAATATGTATTCAGTAAAAACTTATCAGTAAATTCAATATTATTATTTACTTTGTCGAGTAAGATTTTAGTCTACCAAAATGGTATCGTATACAATAATTTATCCGATAAACGTTAACCGGATAAGAATCGTCACCCTTATTTACTGGTAAAATTTTCCTCGACATCACTCTTACCGGACAAGATTATTTGTCTTTGTCATATTCATCCAGTAAAATAGTATGATTTAGTAAGCGATTATTGGACAAGCTTTTGGATAAACGATCCATAAACCGCATTGAACGAATCCTATAAATTGCAAGAAGAATCAAGATCCCCAGTTTTATTCAACCAGAAGGAAAATTGCTTCGTGTATGATCCAATTTCATCTGCTATCTTATTATTAATTAACGATTTCTTTAAACTTGATTGTTGATCTTTCGTCTATTTCGTCGATCCAGACTATAAAAGTTTCAAACAGTTTCATTTTGTTTTGAATACGTCCTCCGAAACAAACTCTTATACATGTGTTTGAATTCAAAAGCATAAAGTGGTGGGTTTATTAACCAAAACAATTTAGAGTTAGTTTCCAGAAGTTCCCGGAAAAAGCTCTTACACATGTATTCAGACGTTTATCAGTTTACAAAAAAAAAAAAAAAAAAAAAAAAAAAAAGACTTTTAACACCACATATTATAAATTCAAAAATGGAATAAGGGAATCAGAAGTAAAATAAAAATTCAGATTTCTATACCACTTAAGAAATAAACATTAATTAAAATATATTTTATACACACACGTCCTCTTAATTGGCNATAAAGTGGTGGGTTTATTAACCAAAACAATTTAGAGTTAGTTTCCAGAAGTTCCCGGAAAAAGCTCTTACACATGTATTCAGACGTTTATCAGTAAAAAAAAAAAAAAAAAAAAAAAAAAAAAAAAAAAAAACTCTTACTAATTTACTTGCATACTTTAACACCTTCTTTTATTAATCAGAAGTAAAATAAAAATTCAGATTTCTATACCACTTAAGAAATAAACATTAATTAAAATATATTTTATACACACACGTCCTCTTAATTGGCATGATGATGGTTTAACGGGTTAGGTTTAATTGGGTTGTTAGTGGATTAGAATGAATAGATTTCAACCACAAGGGTGGTGCTTGATTGATTTGAGCTTGACTCCAAATGTCAAAAGTACCAGGAGGTCTCAGGTTCAAATCCAAGGAAGAATAAAAATCTCTTTGTGGCCACGAAGGTTCAAATGCGGTGACTCCGGGCTATCTACAAAGCAGGTGGCCGTCCTGAAATTAGTCGGCTCGCATAGCGGGTTGGATATCCAGGTTAATAAAAAAAACACCTTAATAATTTTCATCTTGGGTTGATGTCTTGGGCTTATGTACACTGGGCTAGCCCACTTCAATTGCATCTTGGGCCGAAGGCTGGAAAGAACCCGAATTGGTTGAGTTTTGACCCGGTTGTTTTAAAGGTTTTTGAAAATTCCATCTTTGTCCCTGAGTTTAAGAAACATGATTTTCAGTAGTCACTGTTTTGAAATTAAAACTCTTTAAATGTTACATAAAAACCCCCATATTTTATAAATGCTATTTTTGCTATGCAATTTAGAATTTTATGACATTTTAGTCTTTGTTTAGCCCCAAAAGTTGTAAATTTTTATTTTAGCTACAAAAATGCATTTTGATCAAATCTTGCAAAAAATACATAATGAGGATATTGTTTAGGACAATTATGGGATTTTGTCATGAGGATGTAAATTTTACGATGGTATTTACAGTACGATATTAAAAATGTAATGTTTACAGTACAATATTATATATACAACTGTATTACTATATAGTTAGTTATTTTCTCGAATAATTGACCAATTAATTATTGGGTCAAAGTTGCATAAAACCCAATGAGAAATAACGATCAAGTTATGCTAGTGTTTTGCAGAGATGTTTAGGGGATTGTTGTCGTTATTGTGTAGGTTTATTAGTCAGAATAAGACTCGCAGGGTCTGGCTTTATTGTGAGTTGTTTTTGTCAAATTAAGAAACGTGTTAAAATACAATTTTTTTATATCAGAAAAATTATCGTTTTGATGAAAGATGTACAAAAAGTTACGCTGAATATGTTTATTGTTTTCTTTTATAGTTAAATAGAATGAGACACGAACTCTAGTTTCTATGTGCGAGGATCATCCATATATTTGACGAAACGCTATTTCCAAATCAATGCAATATGTGGCTAGTAACCATGAAGGTAAAGTCATTCGTCTGAGGAGGGATAGCAGAGAGACACAATGATATATGTTCCTATCTCGCAGATCAAATTTTGCAAAGTTTATAGCCATAATTTACAATACAATGTAGTATACGTTTTTCATTAAAGTTTCAGTGGCATCAATAAAAGGTTATGCATATTTTTTAAGTTACGCTCACATTTCATATAGCGTATGTTCAAAGTTTTATATGTTATGTTTTACACATAACATGTATAGTTATAGCAGTCAGCAAATGTCTTTAAACCTAGATCTCACTAGGTAGCCCGTAGGTTGATGCGTCCATGTTGAGCTATCCTGGTCGGGCCAAGCATGGTCCCTCTACCAATGGGATGCATGTGTCATTACCTCATAATGATCGCGAGACAGGTATGGCAAGAACATTCTAACAGATAACGAATACCTTTTTTGACGCTAATGTGTGTATGTATATGTGTATCTCATGAAAAGACCTGACATGATGCTCAAAGGGCAAAAAGGAAGTATCAAAATTGGATTGCAGAAAATTTGTGATAAATCTTGTAACAAAAATAAAACGATGTTTAAGTTATATGGTTTTATAAATGTCACAGGATTCGATATAACATGATTGGTCATTGTGTGATACATAATTCCGTATGAAAGTCGGTCTTCAAGTCAGATATGAAAGAGGTTTTATAGCATCCATAATGTTAGGTTTTTTATCGCAAGATTTTTCACAGCTTTTTCATTTTATATTATCGTCATCTCAATAATTTAAAAACTTCAATATATCTCTACTATGACAAAAATTATAAGTATGTATACTAAAAAATAAAAATTGATTTATTAAGAAATTTGTAAAAATAATATAAAATTTTAATTTAAATTGTGTACATTAAAAAGTAAAAATTGGGTTATCAATAAATTTGTAACAATGTGTAAGAATACGTGCAATAAAAATTGAAAAAGAAAGTTAATTCAAAAGTATGTACAATAATAGATAATTAAAATTGGGTTATCAAAAAATCCATAAAAAATGTGTACAAATTTACGACATTAATTTGAATATACAAAAATATAATTACTTTAATTTTATATTTATATTACATTATTTATTTTATTTAAATATAATTACTTTAATTATATTAATTAATAAAATTGATTAAAGTAAATTATAGATTTCGTCCCTGTAATTACATGAAAATTATGGATTGGATTTTTTAAACGAAATAATTACAAGTATCATGATTTTTGTTTTCTTGCATACTGGGTTCCTATCTCTAACTCCACTAACTTTATCTCTATTAAGTCATGGCTCCAATTGTTTGATAAGTATCAAATCAAGTTGAATGCATTTGGAAACATACACTACAACAAAATTGAGTTTATAGGATACCCCCAATCTTTAAGTGTCCCAATAGACCTCTTTATAAGACTTAATTTATAGGACCAAAATATAAAGTGTCATATCTAAAAATGTTGTAATAAGTTTATATGATGCTTTTGGACGTCTTAATAAGTTTTTTAGAACATTTTTAATACAAAGTGTCGTATTAGCAACTTTATAGGACACTTTTGAGAAAGTGTCCTATAAATTCATTTTTTATAGGACACTTGTATTTATAGGACAATTTTTCAAATAGTGTCCTATAAAGTTGATAATGGGACACTTTATATTAAAAGTGTCCTAAAAAACTTATTACGACATCAAAAAAACGTCGTATAAACTTATTATAATATCTTTAGATATGACACTTTATTTTTTTAGGCCTATAAACTAAGTCCTATAAAGAGGTCTATTAAAACACTTAGAATTTGAGAGTGTCTTATAAACCCAATTTTGTTGTAGTGATATAAAAGCAAACCTAAAATCGCATCAAATCTTCACAAAACCAAAACATCACAAAAGTCGTCAGATGCCGATTTCTATATTTTCATACCAACAGTTGCACATAAAAAAAAATCATTTTGTTGTTTTTCCTCAGTAGTTAGAATTTTGAAATTATTTTACCATAATTTATAAACTATGATTTTGCTCATAAAAATTTACCATTTGATATAATTTATCAATATAAAAATATATTATGTTTCTTCTCGTGATTTTGATATTCAAATAAAATCATAACATGCTTTCTTATATAATTCTTCATCGAGAGAGCTTTAACATCATATCTTTCAATGAGTTTATATGACGTTTTTTGACGTCGTAATAAGTGTTTTAGGACACTTCTAATATAAATCATCCCATTATCAACTTGATAGGACACTATTTGAAAAACTGTCCTATAAAAACAAATGTCCTATAAGATATTGAGTTTATAAGACATTTTCTCAAAAGTATCCTATAAAGTTGCTAATGCGACACTTTATATTAAAAATGTCCTTAAAAAACTTGTTAAGACGCCCAAAATCGTCATATAAACTTATTACAACTCCTTTAGATATGACGCTTTATATTTTGGTCCTATAAATTATGTCTTATAAAACGGTCTATTGAAACGCTTAGAGATTGAGGGTGTCCTATAAACCCAATTTTGTTATGGTGATCATTCTAAAGTTAAAATCATAAGACCAAAAGAAGAAAGTTCACGAAAGAAATATATTATATCTTGGACACATCGATAGTTCGATACATGGGAATCATAAGCCATTGATTTCAGAGGCAACATGTGTTACATCATTAGAAAATGCTTTATATGTTAAGTAGACGGCATTTTCACTTTATTCTTAATGATATACCGGTTGTTATTCAAGGATGATGGATGGGTTCAATTGGATGCTTAAAATGTGGCACTTCTTTGGCTTCAACCTTGTCTCGGGCGAGCTCTTCAGCTTTCAGCTTGTCTTGAGCGAGCTTCTCAGCTTTGGGACAATTGAAGTAGCAAAAGCACATGTGTTTCTTGTTGCGGGTGTGACAAGCTCCATGCGCAGCACCCTCCCAAGCCTTGCACTGATCGTCGCAATGTCTCGTGTTGCCGCAGTTTCCAGACCATGTCTTGCTTGCCTTCTCACATAATTCTCCCTTCACGACTGCGAATTCTGTTTAATTCATGCAAAATGGGATTCAATTAGAGGAAAATTAACTAAAACCAGATAGCAAGTGTACGAGACCACAAAAATACTTGTTCTTCACCTATATCATTGAGTAAGACAATTTTCGCACAGTTTATATATAATAATATTGTTCATCATTGTTTCCTACCACCTAAAAATCAACATAATATTAACGAATTTTTCTATATTTTCTTAAGTATGACAACTTACAATTAAAAAAAACAAATATGATGACGAGAAAAAAGGGATCTAAATACGTTTGTTTGAGCACCTGATATCGTAAGAATGCAGATGAGTAAAAGGAGGGCAAAGAACGCAACAGAGTTTTTAGCCATTTTAGAGCAATTCTCTAAGTGAAAGAACACTTGCTACAATTTTGGTGAAGAAAAGGTCGGGACTGATGGGGGAATTTATAGGAGCAAAAAGGAGGTTCGAGAAAACATTTGTCGAAGATAAAAACAGATGATGTAGAAAAAATGACCAAAAATTCCACTCATGTTGTCTTATATTGACTTTCGTGCATGGATGCATACATTGTATACATCATAATTACTTTTATTGCTTTCTTAAGAAACTTGCAACGTCTTTTCATGAAGAGAAAAAACCGAGAAGTCACGTTTGTTAAAAATGGTTATCATAAATTTAAGAGTAAGCTATGTTTTTCGTTCTCGTGGTCTGTTGAAAATACGTATTACCGTACATATACTTTTGAAACTGTGGTTTTTGTCACTATGGTATATGATTCAGTACTTTTTTCGACCCTATCGTTTACAGTTCAAGGTTTTTTTTGTTTATCATACGTAACAGTAAACCATTGGTGAAATTATCTTTGGAAACACAAACAACAACGAATTCCAAACTACATAAACGAAAACCATAATTTCAATAACACAAGGACAAAAAGCATAGTTTTTTTTTATCAAACTACATGAACAAAAATCATAGTTTACTCTAAATTTGATCACGTAATTAGAAAGAAAAAGTAATCATATCTTTTTTAATTCAACGTCTTTAATTTAGGGGCCGTTTACTTAAACACTTACCTGGAAAGTATTTTTCAGTAAAATTCAACATTGTCACTTACCTACTAGGTAAACAATTTGTGCACCAAAACGCCATCACTTACCAGGTAAGAGCTAACCGTGGTAAGAGTCTTGGCTCATTTCCTTCGTTTTTACCGGATAAGATTCTTGATCCTTGTCATATTCATCCGATTAGATGTGACTTGTAAACATTTATCCTGATAAACGTTTAGTGAATGGACATTCTCTTGAAAATTGATAGTCATAAAATTAACTATCAATATTCAATACATATATATATATATATATATATATATATAATGCTTATAATTCAGTACTTATTTTAAATCTATAATGTATATTTGTTTTTTCTTGATAA